TGCAGTCACATATTTGGTAAAAAAAAAAAAAAAAAAAAAAAGTAACGCGAACATACAAGGGTGGTTATTGTGGTGTTCTTTGTGAAAAATTGGAATCATGCTAGCCATCTATCAATAGACTGATTAAAGAAATGTGAATCTATTCTGATTAATAGATTGCTATGGAGTGATAATAATGAACCTGGCCTCTCTATACTGAGGGGAAAGATGTCCAACATGTAATGTTATATGTAGAAATTAGTTGCAGAAGCGTTTAAATGGTATACTCTCTCTTCTTTTTTTTTTTTTTTTTTTAACAAATAACATTAGTATATACACTAAGAAAAAGCAGTAGAAATAGGCACCAAAGTTTAACTGTCTTCATCTCTAAGGAAGTTGGTGTTGAAAGTGGGGCATATGCCCACTGGGGGAGAGGTCAAGATAATACTACAGTTTAGCGTGTGGGAGAAAATTATTAGAACTTTTAAATGTATTTCTTTTTTTCTTTTTTTTTTTTTTTTTTTGAGACAGAATCTTGCTCTGTCGCCCGGGCTGAAGTCCATTGGTGCAATCTCAGCTCACTGCAACCTCTGCCTCCTGAGTTCAAGTGATTCTCCTGCCTCAGCCTCCTGAGTAGCTAAAACTACAGGCATGTGCCACCACACCTGGCCTAATTTTTTTGTATTTTTAGTCGAGACGGGGTTTCACCATATTAGCCAGGATGGTCTCGATCTCCTGACCTCGTGATCTGCCCGCTTCAGCCTCCCAAAGTGCTAGATTACAGGTGTGAGCCACCGTGCCCAGCCTAATATGTTTCTTTTTATCTCATTCTTTTTAGATTTCTGTTTTTGAGAGTGCATATTTTATAACACATAATTTTACAGAATAGCACACACTTGTAATTTATAAATATATGTTCATTAGCGTATACATGCAAACTTGTTTTACTAATGGGCTGTGTGATCACAGTAGTTTGGAGACCATTGCTTTAGATGACAGACTTTCAGGAGCATGTGTTACTTCTGTAACCAGAAACGCCTAGTTTTTAAAGAAAAAAATCACAAAACTTTAATTTTTTTTATTTTTAATTTTTTGGATACATTGTAGGTGTATATATTTATGGAGTACATGAGCTATTTTGATACAGGCATGCAGTGTACCCCATCAGGGTAAATGGGGTACCATTACCTCAAACATTCATCATTTCTTTGTGTTATGAACATTTCAGTTGTACTCCCTTATTCTAAAATGTACAGCAGATGATTGTTGAGCATAGTCACCTGTTGTACAATCAAATACTAGATCTTATTCATTGTATTTAACTTTTTTTGAGACAGTCTCGCTCTTGTTGCCCAGGCTGGAATGCCATGGTGCAATCTTGGCTCACCGCAACCTCCGCCGAGTTCAAGCGACTTTCCTGCCTCAGCCTTCCGAGTAGCTAAGATTACAGGCATGTGCCATCATGCCCTGCTAATTTTGTATTTTTAGTAGAGACGGGGCTTCTCCATGTTGGTCAGGCTGGTCTCGAACTCCCGAGCTCAGGTGATTAGCCCACCTCGGCCTCCCAAAGTGCTGCGATTACAGGCGTGAGCCACCACGCGTGGCATATTTAACTATATTTTTTTTACCCATCAACTATCTTCATTCTTTACCCTACCTGCCCCCACCCCCACTACCCTTACCAGCCTCCGGTAATAATCCTACTATCTCCATGTGTTCAATTGTTTTAATTTTTAGCTTCCACAAATGAGTGAGAACATGGAAAGTTTGTCCTTCTGTACCTGGCTTATTTCATGTAACATCATGTCCTCTAGTTCCCATCCATGTTGCTGCAAATGACTGGATCTCATTCTTTTTTGTGGCTGAATAGTACTCCTTTGCGTATATGTGCCACATTTTCTTTTATCCATTGTTTGTTGATGGACAACTCAGGTTAATTCCAAATCCTGGCTATTGTGAATAGTGCCACAATAAACACAGGAGTACAGATATCTATTCAAGATACTGATTTCTGTTCTCTAGGGTACAAACCCAGCAGTGCGATTGCTGGGTCCTATGGTAGTTCTATTTTATTTTTTTGAGGAACCTCCATACTGTTCTCTATAGTGGCTGTACTAATTGACATTCCCACCAACAGTGTATGACAGTTCCCCTTTCTCTACATCTTCACCAGCGTTTGTTACTGCCTGTCTTGGATAAAATCCATTTACACTGGGGTGAGTTGATAGCTTGTTACAGTTTTAATTCGCTTGCCTCTGATGGTCAGTGATGTTGAACAGCTTCCCATATGCCTGTTTGCCATTTGTATGTCTTCTTTTGAGAAATACCGATTCAGATCTTTTACCCATTTTTAAATTGGATTATTGGATTTTTTTCCTATAGTTGTTTGAGCTCCTTATATATTCTGGTTATTCTATGCATAGTTGGCAAATATTTTCTCCCATTCTGTGGGTTGTCTCTTCACTTTGTTGATCGTTTCTTTTGCTGTACAGAAGCTTTTTAACTTGATAGGATATCCCATTTGTACATTTTTGCTTTGGTAGCCTGTGCTTGCCGGAAATTAAGAAATCTTTGCCCAGACCAATGTCCTGGAGCATTTCCCCAGTGTGTAGTAATTTCATAGTCTGAGGTCTTAGATTTAAGTCTTTAATCCATTTTGATTTGATTTTTGTATAGGCAAGAGATAGGGGCCTAGTTTCATTCTTTTGCTTGTGGATATCTGGTTTTCCCAGCACCTTTTATTGAGGAGACTATCTCTTCCCAGTGTGTGTTCTTGGCACCTTTGTCGAAAATGAGTTCACAGTAGATGTATGGATTTATTTCTGGGTTCTGTATTCTGTTCCATTGGTCTGCATGTCTGTTTTTAGGCCGATACCATGCTGTTTTGGTTACTGTAGCTCTGTAGTATAATTTGAAGTAATATGATTCCTCCAGTTTTGTTCTTCTTGCTCAGGATGACTTTGACTATTCTGGATCTTTTGTGTTTCATATAAATTTTAGGATTTTTTTTTTCTATTTCTGTGAAGAATGTCACTGATATTTTGATAGATTGTATTGAATGTGTAGATTGCTTTAGGTATTATAGACATTTTAACACTGTTGATTCTTCCAATCCATTAACATGGAATATCATCTCATTTTTTTGTGCCCTCTTCAATTTCTTGTGTCAGTATTTTATAGTTTCCATTGTAGAGCTCTTTCACTTCTTGTTAAGTTTATTCCTAGGTATTTTATTTTATTTTATTTGTAGCTGTTGTAATCAGGATTGCTTTCTTGATTTCTTTTTCAGATTGTTCATTGTTGGCATGTAGATATGCTACTGATTTGTATGCTGATTTTGTATCCTGCAACTTTACTAAATTTATTTCGAATAGCTTTTTGATGGCGGCTTTAGGCTTTTCCAAATATAAGATCAGGCCGGGCACAGTAGCTCATGCCGGTAATCCCAGCACTTTGGGAGGCCAAGGTGGGCAGATCACTCGAGGTCAGGAGTTCAAGACCAGCCTGGCCAATATGGTAAAACCCCATCTCTACTAAAAATATGCAAATTAGCCAGATGTAGTAGCACATCCTTGTAGTCCCAGCTACTCAGGAGGCTGAGGCAGGAGAATCGCTTGAACCCAGGAAGCAGAGGTTGCAGGGAGCTGAGATTGAGGCACTGCACTCCAGCCTGGGCAGCAAAGTAAGACCCTGTCTCAAAAAAAAAAAACAAAAGACAAATATAGATCATATCATCCTAAAGCAAGAATAATTTGACTTCTTGCTTTCCAATTTGAATTCCTTTTGTTTCTTTCACTTGTCTGATTGCTCTAGCTGGGACTTCCCAGAAATACCTATTAAAATGCTATGAGAAGACATAGACATAGGCTGCTGTCCAAGTAATTTTATTCCCAAACCCAGAGTAATAAGGACCTCCCTCTGCCTTCTGGGCTTCTTCATTCAACCATGGCACTTTGGCTGAGAGAAAGACCCACCTTCTCTTCCAGATGAAGCCAAGGAGGAGTTCCTGGATCTGCTTGATGTGTTGCTGCCACATGCCCAGACATACGTCCCCCGGCTGGTAAGGATGGAGGCGTTCCACCTCAGCCTGTCCCAGAGCGTGGTTCTGCGCCACCACTGGATCCTCCCCTTTGTGCAAGCTCTGAAAGCCCGCATGGCCTCCTTCCAGAGGTGAGTGTTTCCCTCTGCCTCTCCGTTCCCTCTCCTCCACAGCTTCTCCTCTCCTGAGCTATTACAGGCATTACCCCAGCAAGCAGGCCAGACCTAAAGATAGAACACGGCCCCTCTCCTGGGGCTGCCTGCTGTACTTCTCATCCTCCGTGACCTTGGGCATGCCGTGGCAGCTCTTGACACTCCTGATGCCTTATCTGCTCTGTAGGAAAAGCCAGCTGTTGCTCTGTAAACTCTCGCTCAGTATTTCCAGCACTTCTGTGACCAGATGTGCAGGGTTTTTTTCCACACCAGCAAATTATCCAACTCTCCAGACACCCACTGAGTGTCCTACAATTTAACTCAGTTCTGACACTAATAACCCAGGGTTAGGGCAGACTTCGTAGGCTAGGGGCTCAGTCCCACAAGACGGCTCTCTATGTCAGACACCATCTGCATTGTTGAGTTCTCAGGTAACCCACAGTATTCGTCTCATTTCACTACAAATCAGAGGTTCTATGGACTCCTCCTCAGATTTTGTCATTTGCTAGAACAGCTCACAGAATTCAGGAAAACCATCCACTTACTAGGTTGCCAGTTTATTACAAAGGATATATTAAAGGATACACATGAATAGCCAGATGGAGACAGTTAGGCGAGGTCTGGAAGGGTCCCCAGCATGGGAGCTTCTGACCCTGTGTCGGGGGTGCACCCCCCACCCAGCACATGGATGCGTTCTTTTTCACCAAGGGAAGCTCCTCAAACTCTGCAGTTCTGAATTTTTCTGGAGGCTTCATCGTGCAGGCGTGATTGATTGTTAACGCAGTCTCTAGCTTCCCTCCCATCTCAGGAGGATGGGAGATGGAGCTGAAAGTCCCCAGCTTCTAATCATGCCTTGCTCTTTCTGTGATCAGCCCCCATCCAGGAGCCCACCAAGAGTTGCCTGTTGGAACAAAAGACACCCCTGTCACCCAGGAAATTCCAGAGGATTAGGAGCTCTGTGTCAGGAGCCAAGGGTCACAGACCAAACAATAGATGAAAAGATGCTCCTGGCACCCCCACTGCTTAGGAAATGACCCAGGTTTTAGGATCTCTATGTCAGAAACTAGAGGCTGAGACCAACACATATGTTACCATTTCACAATGATAGGGCAAACAGGTCATAGTGGTGGTGAGCTACCTCACTGGCAGTTTGTGAGGGTGAAAGGAGATCATGGGTGCCCTCAGCACACCACTTTGGTGAACGTATAGAACCAGACCCCACTTCTGGTTTTGTCTGCCAGCCTGGAGCTTTTTTTCCCCTTACCTATTGCATTATTTCATAACTATTTTTCCTCAAATTTGATCAAAACCCTGCTCTTTTACTGAGGCTCTCCCAGTTGGCATCTCCTGCAGAATCCCTCCATCCACAGCTCATTCGGTCCTGTGGTTGTTTACCCTGGTGGTCATTTCACTCCCCTCATACGCAGTCATTCCTGTGTCCATCTTCCCTCCTGGAGCTCACATTCCTCTGTGGCTTCTCTCTGAATCACCCCGCAGCTTGTTTCCAGGTGCTCTGCTCACTGTAGACATCAAATAGATGCTTGCTGAGTCATGGAGCAGTGATGAGGGAGCTCAAAGAATATCTTTCTGGATCCTCTGCTCCTGGTACTAGAAAGAGCCTAAGAAGCCGCCCAGCTGGTGGTTTTCTGACTCTGCCTTTATCAGCAGAGCCTTTCTTCAAATGAGGTGTTGCACAAAAGCCTGGTGTGTGGCTGGGTAAGATGGAAATAAACAGAAATCTTCTAGCCAAAGCCGCACTCCCACAGGTCGGGGGGCCACAGGCCCAGAAATTCCATAGGATGTCACTGCCCAACTGGGAAACTGCTCAGTTAGTTGAAGCCCTTCTGAGGCCCAGAGGAGGATGGGATTTGTCCCAGTCTAGTCACTCAGCCAGGGAATCAGGGCTGAAACTCATCTCTCAACCTAGTCCAGTGCTCTCCCTCTTTGGATGGTCACTATCAAACTTATTGAGCTGTATATATATTATCAGGGCTCTTTTAACCACAGGTGCCAGACACCCAACCCAAAGTGGCTTAAACCAAAGAGAAATTCATAGGCTGGTATAACTAAAAGATTCAGAGGTAGTACTGGCTCATGCATGAGTGGACCAGGGTGACAAGAAGGTGTCAGATGGCAGTGACAAAGGAAGCTACCGCATCTCCGGGCTGATGGTGTACCAGCCTGGGAAGACAGTCCTCCTCTCTGACTGGCTTCAGCACAAGTCACAGGAATGACTGACTGGTCTGACCTGCCTCCTGTGCTCTTTCTTTGGGAGTAAAGAGTTAACAGGCCCTTCCTCCTTCCACACAGAGTGCTTCCCTTATCCTGCGGAAGCTCTTCCCTGGATGAAAGAGGAGTGCGGCTGTGTCAGTGCTGATGACTGGCACGCTGCACCTGCGCCAGGAAGACGGCGTGAACTGTGCCCTTGCAGGGAAGCCACGGCCTGGGCTCCCCTGCATACAGTGGTTCCTTCACTGGTCACGAGTTTCTTGCTGGGACCTCTGAAAACTGCCCAAAGTCCATCGCAGGATGGACTTCATGGGATGTATATGTGGCTGGTTCCCTTGCCCACTGGGAGACTAGAAAACAGCACCTGGACCCCTGGGCTGGTTCCCTCTGAGGAAAGGATCTGTCACTTCTCTGTGTCACGAGCGAAGCCAGGCCACCTATGGTCTCTTCGAGTTCAATCATTTGGTTGAGGCGAAGGTGACCTCTGACTCTGTTGCTGTGACTGAGGAGATGCTAAGCTCTGCTTGGCCAGGCCTGGGCAGCCTGCCTCTGGAGTAGGGAAGGAGAGCCATCCTGCACCACGAGATGACCAGGAGAAGGGGTGCTGGTTGGGCACAGACATCCAGTGTCCACTCCAGGATGTTTGTCAGACACCTTGCAGAACTATTCCTAAAAGCTGCGCTTATCCCAGCTCCTGGTGGTTCTGTGATCCCTTACATTTTCCCCAGAGGAGTTGGCTGGCTGACTTTTGCCCTTGGACAGATTGTGAGGCTCTACCCAGCATGCTGGTATATTATGTTCCCTCAGATGGGGATGAGACCCTTGGCCTGGGGCCTGTAAAATGATCTGTTTCTGTGATGGGACCTTCCACGGTGAGATTGTTAGCATCTCAGAGAACAACAGGCAGAACCTGTCCAAGTCAAAGCACCTACCTGGCTGAGCCTGACTTCCTATGTTATTGATCTGAGGCGTGGGTGGGTCGGTGGGGGCATCTGTCTCGTTTTCACAGCAACAGAGACCAACTTCCCCTCACCAAAGGGTCACAGGTGACAGCAAGGACCCTGGAAACAGGCAGACTGAGGTTCAAATTCTGGCTCACCAGATTCACCTTCACCATGCCTCTGTTTCTTTGTCTGTAAGATGGGCATAATCGTAGGCCTGCTCACAGAGTTGTGTGAGGATTCAAGAAGCGGATGTGTGCAGAGGCTTGAGCTCAGCGCTAACACACAAGGAAATGGTCTCATGATTGCTTAGATGAAATTGGAGTTGTCTATTTTTTAAAAAAAACTGCAAGAAATGAATCGGCCTTTAAGTGGTTTATTATCACCTACTTGATCAATAAGGCTTTCTCAGTTCCCATCAGTAAAGTTGAGATAGTCTCAAATTGTTTATCAAGATGAACGGCTATTAACGAAGTAAAATTTTTACTAGCACCTGGATGATGCTGTGTGTTTCATGGACTGGGTGATTTCAAGGTCTTGTCCAGCTCTAATATTTTAGGGTTCAGGATACCACCTGCATAATGGGTGATAATATTAAGTGCAAAATGAGTTCACTATATTGTCAAAGGGCTGATTTTTTTTTTTAACGTAAGCTACTTTTTTCTGCCTTTTTTCTGAAATATGGTCTTCTAAATTTCAGATTCTTCTTTACTGCCAACCAGGTAAAGATTTACACCAATCAAGAGAAAACCAGGTGGGTCCTCCCAACCCCTAGTCACCATTAGAGGAAGATTCTTTGGTGCAAAAATCGAGGGCTTTGCCTCTGGACTTGTTTGCCCCCTTTCTTGTTTGCTTTTAACCAACTCTGACTACAAAGGCAGCTATCCCCAAATCTGAACTTTTCATTAAGAAAAATAATGGGGGGAGGCCAGGCACAGTAGCACAGGCCTGTAATTCCAGCATTTTGGGAGGCTGAGGCAGGTGGATAGATTGAGCTCAGGAGTTCCAGACCAGCCTGGGCAACATGGCCAAACTCTGTCTCTATGAAAAATATAAAAATTAGCTGAGCATGGTGTTGTGTGCCTATCGTTCTAGCTACTTGGGAGGCTGAGATGGGAGGATCGCTTGAGCCCTAGAGGTCAAGGTTAAAGTGGGCCAAGATTGTACACTGTACTCCAGCCTGGGCAACAGAGTGAGACACTGTCTGGAAAAATAACAACTGGGGAAGCCATGTCGGGGGTGGTGCATAGAGACTGAGAGAAGCATTTTGGTTTAGTGAAAACCTGTGAAAGTGAGAAACCTGTTCCTGCCCAGCTCCATCCCAGTTGTGGCATTTGGCCGGTGTCTTCATCTCTGTGACCTTCATTTTCACACTGGCACACACCTCCCCTTTCACACCAGTACACGCCTCCCAACATCCATTGTTGGGCAGCTGTGAGGCTCAAATGAGCCCCAAGGCCTTAGAAAAGTTAAAAGTACCAAAGTGTTAGATGAACATTGGAAGAAATTATTAACCCAGCTTCAAAGCGAGCCTTCCTGTCTGATCCACTCACTGGGCCACTTTCTCTGAGCACTTTTGAAAGAGGCCTCATTTACTCCTTCATTTAGTCCATGGTGCACAAGTTCGTTAAGCACCCACTTGTGCCAGGCATTCACCGTATGCTAAGGATTCAGCAGTGAAGAGGCAGACACAGCCCCTGCTCTTTTCAGTCTCATATTTGGAGGGGAGAGAGATAATAAGTAATGAGAGTGTTTGTTAATAACTCTGGTGTGATACAGTGGTCAGGAGGGGGTAGTCCAGGAGGGCACCAGGGAAGTGGCCAGGGAGATGGCATTTGATGGTGACCTGAAGATGAGAAGCCAGCCTTGGGAAGAGCTGTTCCAAGGGCTTCAAGTGGAGGACATAGCAAACTAAGTAACTCCGAAGCAGGGAAGAGTTCAGCGTGTTTAGGAAGCCAGTGAGGCGGAACCCAGAGAGCACGCAGGAGAAGGGTAGGAGATGAGATGGGCAGGGTTAGCCCATGCAGGGTCTGCAAGGTCAAGTAAGGAGTCTGAATTTTCAGTATCATGGAAGCCATTGGAGGGATTTGAACAGAGGAGAGGTATGATCTGATTTGTACCTGGGGATGGCAGTCTGGCTAGATGGTGTGTCTGTGACTGTGGAGTCTCAGGACAAGATAGAAGGGAGCAAGGGTGGAAGCAGGGAGACCAGAAAGGAGCCAGGTGTCATTGTCAGGTGAGGGACCACCGTGGCCTAGATTAGGGTGGTGGCCATGCAAGACCAAGAGGTGGACAAGTTGGAGAGACACTGGAGGCAGAAGCGGCCGAATTACCAATGGGTTGGGTTTATGTGAAGGAAGAAAGCGAACATCGATTCCTGGGTTTGAGGCTGGAACAGCTGGCCCCATTTTCTGTGATAGACACTGGTGGGATAAAAATCAAAAGTTCTGCTTTGTACCTGTTTGTTTCTACCTGTTAGGTTTTGTTGCCTGTCAGACTCCTAGGTGGAAATGTCACAGACACAACTGGGTGTTCAGGACAGGAACCAGCTGGAGATAGAAATGTAGGCAGTGTTGGCCTGTATGAGAAAGCGGGGCTGGGTGAGATCAGCCTCCTGGAGAGAGCAGATAGAGAACAGCCAGTGAGAACTGCAGAGCTCCGTCTCTCCTTCACCACAGAGAGGCTGGAGAGGAGAGAGGGTGGTAGAGGACACTGAGCTGGGAGGCAGGAA